CTCTCCATCTACCCTCCACCCCTCTCCAGTCCCGGCCCCTGGGGCACCGCGTCTATATATACTGACCCTCTCCATCTACCCTCCACCCCTCTCCATGTACATTCCAGCCTCTAGGGCACCAAGTCTGTATATACTGACCCTCTCCATCTACACTCCACCCCTCTCCCTCTCCAGTCCTGGCCCCTGGGACTCTGAGTGTATACTGCCCACTTATTTTGAAGTCTTTATTAAGCTTTTCTGTCCACAAGGGCAGTTCACACGGTGACTGCTGAGTCTGTCAGCTCTTTTCCAGCCACAGATTTCTTCGCAGGTGTGGGTGTTCCCATGTGCAGGCCACTAAACCAGCAGTTTTCATGCATTGTTCCTGGTCCCCACTTGGTCTTTTTTCATTTCACTCGGTCCCCGACCCTCCACCTCTGTCCAGTCTCACGATGGGGCTGACCCTAGGACCGGCCCACAGGGATGCTGGGACCAGCACGGAGGAGGCCCACGGCTGGGGCCGCCTGTCCAGCGTCTAGCAGGGAGGCTGCATCCGTGTCCTTCTGGTGCCTCAGGCCCAGCAGAAGGCCACAGATTTTTAAAAAGCTTTCCCTGCTTCCTTCACAGAGTGATGCTTCCCAACTGCCGGTCCCACAGTGAGGGCACGCGTGGGTTCCACATGCTCCAGCACCCGGCTCAGCGGCCCATGGCCAGCTCTGCTCAGCCTCTCAGCTGCCGGCACAGAGCCTGTCGGTTTACAGGAGAGGTCAGACACACCTCTGTGGTTTTCTCTTTTTGTATTTTCTCTTCTATGCCTGTGTGTTCTGTGCAGGGTGAACGTCATATGAAGTGACTGTGGCATTTCGACCCTGTATTTTACTGACTTTTAGAAAATAAGAGCAAAACAGTGACAGCTTACCCACTGCGTAAGCAGGCTGTCAGAAACAACAACCTGCCAAGCCTCCCTGCAAAGGGACACGGTCCTGCCAAGACTTCTGAGCAAGTCAGCTTCCACTAAACAGTTACGACTTAGAGGCGCCAATGTTTCATACATACGATGAAACTAAGGCCAAAGCAAAAGAGTTGGGAACACCTTCAGTTACCGAAGCACCTTTGATTTCACAGGAAGAAAGTATCAGAAGTGGGTCCATCCCCAGTGCCTGCTAGAATTAAAGCAGCAAAACACATGCAACTTCCTAAAATCCACCAATTCCACAGGTCATTTTCCAGTGCTGACTGGCTTTTCAAAATCTTGGTCCAAGTTCTCTCTGGCCCTCATTTTTTCTTAACCAAGTGGAGAAGTGGAGGTTGGGAGGACCTGAGTTCACAGGGACATCAGTTCCTTTCGGAATGTAAGCCCTGACATCCACAATTGTTCGGAAAGTCCTCAGAGGGGAAGTAAGACTTGCAATTTTTCCTCACAGGCCCTCAACTGTGAATCCAAAAGTTACCTACACACAAGCATGAGCCAGACACACACTTGGAACATGCCGTCACCTACCTTCTTTGTCAGCCCGAGCGCTGCCCACGAGGAACCTGGACACGAGGGGTGTGCTCGACAAGGACAGACAGGTGGAAATGAAGACGCTCTGCGTGGGTTTGATCCGCAGGAGATGCCCCCATAGTAAGCCAAACGCAATCATCAACAGTGTCATGTAACACGGCCCTTGTAAGGAAATCTTCCACACCTTAAAGAGAACACAGTGATTCACACGCTTTTTAGTGACAACAGGCAATGACCACACCACACAGACTTCATGCATTTCTGCACCCAGGAAAGGAGGCAGAGCTGAGCTTTTGTGAGGCAACGCTGGGTCACATATCCAACGTCATCAGCTGAACACGGTGAGTACTCACACAAGGCTTCCTCTGTGCCAGGCACTGCCACAGGGCTGCACACACACAATACACGCACACCCACTCTCTCCCCAGGAGTGCAAATAAAACCTAATCCTCAGAACAACTTGAGCTCAAGATGACAATTTCCCCTACTTTTAGATGAAAACACCGAGGCACACACAGGTTAAGTGACTCGGCAAGGTCACATGGCCAGTGAATGTTGGAGCCAGGAAGTGAACCCAGGCACTGTGGCTCGGCAACCAAAGCGGCTCTATCAGGTGCCTCAGGGTGCACTCGGCACTGTGTTAAATGAGACGGGAAGGGAGAAGAAAGCACGTTTCAATCCTAAAATAATAAAAGCTACCTATTTATATAAACATAAATATGATACATCAACCAAAGAAATTAACCTGGAACTCCTCCTACCCCACTTGAAGTGCTCATTCATATCGTTTTCTCCTCACTGCATGGTCCTAGTCAAAACAAGCATCAGTTCCCTGATTCCAGGCCTTCTATGGAAAGTGAAAGTTGGGGTCGGGGGTCCTAGAAGGAAGGGATGCAGGGGCTGTGTGGCTAAACACAGGCGTCGTGGAGCAGCTGGACACAGGCGGTTCCAGGGGGCCCACCCAAGGAGCCTGCCAGCCCCAATGTACATAGGCAGCTCCGGGGGGCGCGCCCGCCAAGCCCGCCGGCCCCAATGTACACAGGCAGCTCCGGGGGGTGCACCTGCCAAGCCCGCCAGCCCCAGTGTACCTTGGGCGCTTTGGAGCATGTGAGCTTTTCCCTCCCCAGCTAGTTCTTGTGAAAAACACCACTTCTTGCAAAATTACAACTTTTCTTTTTGAGAATCAGGAAAATGAGCAGATATGCCCCAGTCTCCCACAGCTGTGACCCGTTGGCCTGTTTGTCCACCATGGAGCTTCCAGACCCCGGAGGGGAACCACGGTGCCTTCCAACCCCACGAGGCCCCAGGCTCACTTCATCTGAACATCGAGAGGCCACATGACAGGAGGCCGGCAGATGCCACCAAACAGCTCTGGGCCGCGGAGACTCGATAAGTCTCTACTCTGCTCGGTCCCCTCTCTCCTTCCACAAAGAGGGGAAGGGTCGGTCCCACAACGGCTGCTTCTGAATTTCTTTTCTCTACTTCCTATGCTTGGCAATCGTAATGGTTATCACAGAGCACATCTCACACCCGAGTATCACAGCCGAGGAGCAATGGAAACACCGTGCGGTCCACGTGCATCTCATACCCTTCCTCTTCCGAGTATCACAGCCGAGGAGCAATGGAAACACCGTGTGGTCCACGTGCATCTCATACCCTTCCTCTTCCGAGTATCACAGCTGAGGAGCAATGGAAACACCGTGCCCTCTTCTGAGTATCACAGCCGAGGAGCAATGGAAACACCGTGCCGTCCACGCACATTTCACACCCAAATATGACAGCCGAGGAGCAATGGAAACACCGTGCGGTCCACGTGCATCTCATACCCTTCCTCTTCTGAGTATCACAGCCGAGGAGCAATGGAAACACCGTGCCGTCCACACACACTTACACCCTTCCTCTTCCGAGTATCACAGCTGAGGAGCAATGGAAACACCGTGCCGTCCACGTGCATCTCATACCCTTCCTCTTCTGAGTATCACAGCCGAGGAGCAATGGAAACACCGTGCAGTCCACGTACATCTCATACCCTTCCTCTTCCGAGTATCACAGCTGAGGAGCAATGGAAACACCGTGCCGTCCACGTGCATCTCATACCCTTCCTCTTCTGAGTATCACAGCCGAGGAGCAATGGAAACACCGTGCAGTCCACGTACATCTCATACCCTTCCTCTTCCGAGTATCACAGCCGAGGAGCAATGGAAACACCGTGCCGTCCATGTGCATCTCATACCCTTCCTCTTCTGAGTATCACAGCCGAGGAGCAATGGAAACACCGTGCCGTCATGCACATTTCACACCCAAATATCACAGCCGAGGAGCAATGGAAACACCGTGTGGTCCACGTGCATCTCATACCCTTCCTCTTCCGAGTATCACAGCCGAGGAGCAATGGAAACACCATGCCGTCCACGCACATTTCACACCCAAATATGACAGCCGAGGAGCAATGGAAACACCGTGCCGTCCACGTGCATCTTACACCCTTCCTCTTCTGAATATCACAGCCGAGGAGCGATGGAAACACCGTGCCGTCCACGGGCATCTCACACCCGAATATCACAGTTGAGGAGCAATGGAAACATCGTGCCGTCCACACATATCTCACACCCTTCCTCTTCCGAATATCACAGCCGAGGAGCAATGGAAACACCGTGCCGTCCATGCTGGCTGCAGCCTGAGGCGGCCACGGGCTCGGGGGTTACTCCTGTGAGCAGTGTTAACCAGCTCAGATTCAGGGTCTTCCCAACCCTCAAGGGACACACGGAGTTAAGGCCTGATCTGCTGCTAACTCGCCGTGCGCCGAGTGGGTAGCAATCTCTCTAGCTTTAGTTTCCACATCTATAGAGAACAGGCAAGACTGTTATCTCTGAGGTCATTACCAGGGTGAACCTTACCTGACCTTATTATCTTGTGTTACCGCACATTCCAGCCAGGAGGGCCCTGGGAGCAAGGTGTTGAGACAGCACCGTGGGAAACGGCTCCAGGAAAGGCCACAGGGGCACAGGTGAGAGGAAGAAACTTCCCGTTCAACATGGGACCTGTGCACGCATCAGAAGCCCCACCTGCAGGCACACCCAGGTCAGAATCTGTGGGTCAGCAAGTCCCCAGGTGACTGCATGCGCACCGGAGGTCAGGAGGCACTGGAGGTCAGGAGGCACAGGAGGTCAGGAGGCACAGGAGGTCAGGAGGCACTGGAGGTCAGGAGGCACTGGACATTAGGAGGCACTGACAGGAGGCCCCTTGGCACCCCCGGCTTCCTCTGCACTAGGACCCCAGCCTCAAATACCGCCTCTTCAGCTGTCTTCTTCTTCCTCTTCTAAGACACATTCTCCTGAAATCCCACAATACGAGGCACAGGGTAGAGGCACATCTACGTTACACCCTGCCTCACCCAGCAGCCCCTGAAGGGCCCGGAACGCTGCAGGTGCTCAACAGGTGTTTGCAGTTAGGACAGAGAAGATATAAGACAGAAGTAAATGAAACTCCAACCCCAATGACTCTATGAACGATCTAGAGAGAGGCAGAAACTGACAGATTCTTAAGTGATCAAGTTTAAGGAACAGTTGAAGTCCGGCTAGAAGAGCAAGCGGTGACAAGGGAGAGAACTGAGCGGGCAGCTTTCCTCAGCACGACGCACGACGCACGACGCACGATGCACGACGCACGACGCATGACGCGGTTTCGGGGCCTCGGCGTTCCGAGTAGTTTCTAATCATATCTTTAGAAGTCCTAAGAGGGGCCTTCTGGTAAGTATTAACATTTCAAAAACCCAAGGAAATTATTTTCCCACCCACAAGTGGGGTGTGCAAGCTAACCCACGTGGCAGGAGGCTCATCAGTTCAGAAAAGTGACTCCGGGTATCTCAGGCTGTTCTAAAGCTCGGCCAGATATTACACCTGAGTAATAAAAAGGGGAGAATAAACACATTGCTTAGTCATGTCTCCGTGAACCAGGGATGCCGTCTCCATGAGCCAGGGTGGGGCCAGACTCCGAGGGTTCCCGCTGGGGACAGCAGCACAGGCTCAGCAACGGGTGAGAGGAGGAGTTCGCACCGGGAGGCCCTCGTCAGCGCCGAGACACCCGCACATCCCAGACACAGAAGGAGCCCTGCCCAGCGCCACTCGATCGGGGTCAACAGGGAGTTTCACAGATGTCTCCTGAGTCCCAAACCAGTGTCCTTCCATCATCTGACTGTCACCACGCAGGGCAGCTGAGCACAACTTCCTAACAGGGAACGCCAGGCTCCTGCCGAGCCCCCGAGTCTACACCACCAAGCAGGCACTTCAGAACCGGGTGCAAACCCTCGGAAGCGCCACTGAGATGACAGCAGCCCTGATGAAGCACGTTCTCACGCTGCTTACAATTATCTTAATGTTACGTTATACAATATTATTTTTTATTAACTGTGAATACTGTAATGGAGAAAAATACAAACTATGAAAATGCAGAGCCAGAAGATACCGGAGTCTTCTAGATCCCTCACTGTATAGGAGAGGAAGCACATGTCCAGGCAGTAGGCGTCTTGTTGAGGCTCTGCCGCATAGCCAGAATGTCGCCCTCCCACCTCCCCTAGGGTCTGCCCTAAATTGCCCTTTGCTGTAAACGTCTCTAAATTACACACACACAGATACACACACGCACACACACACACACGCCCATGCTGCACCATGAAATGGAGGCCTCATGTTTTTACGGAGACTCGTGGGACACTGGTGAGACAGGGCACTGGACAGCCACACCTCCTTACCCCCCCATAACAGGCTCCTCCACAGGCCAGGCAGCCACGCGGCCCACGCCCCCTCACCCTCCCGCCATAACACTCCCTCCACAGGGTTAACAGCAAGGATGGAACCGCTTTTCCTTGGGACCCAGGAGAGTGGTGACTTCTCTTTAATCACTGAGCTTAGAAATTAACAATTTACAAGAAATATAAAAAGATGCCAAGTACCTGGAGAACACCCTAAAGTTAATTCAGAACGCCTTATGAGGCTGTGTGTCTTCAGGAGTGTTCACAGGACAGGGAGAGCAATGAGAAGATGGACAAATGGAGCTTTTAGTGGAAAAACAGAAGGGTAAAGAAAACAAAAAGTTCTAGGTAAGAGGATGAACTGAGGAAGCAAATGGGACGAGAGTATAAAGAAAAACATGCCAGTGAGATCAGAGTGAACTTCTGAAAGTAAACACAAGATTTTAAAAGAAAAGTTTATTTTTCCTTATAATGACAAAGTATTGACAGCTTATTACAGAAAATTTGGAAAATACGGAGAAGAAACCAGAAGTCGCCATGGTGATCCGGCACGTTCATTTCCCATTTTCCCCCACGTACTGGTGCTTCTTTTACATCGCCGCGGCCACATGACATGCTCCTGCTTTCCCTCAAGTTTAGCATTCTAACCAATAGTTTGCTTTGCTGCTGATGCTCCTGTGACTTTGCAGTGGCTACCTAATACTCCATCAGCAGTCATGCCACAGTTCAACTGGCCGTTAAGACACTCGGGACTGGTTCCGCTGTTTCTTAAAGATTTACAATGAGGAGGTGAAACCTTTTGTGGCTAAATTTTTTAAAAACTTATGTTTGATTGTTTCCTTTGGAGAGAGATCTAGAAGAACTACTGGGCGCATATGCACATCTTAAAGCTCTTAGGTCAAACTGCTAGACAGCTTTCCAAAAAGAGTGTACAAATCCAAAGAGCTGGAGAAAATCTCCACAATCTATACATCTGACAAACGACTAATATCCAGAATCGACAAAGAACTCAAAAAAGTCAGCAAGAAAAAAAAGAAACAATCCTATCCAAAAGTGGGCTAAGAACATGAATAGACAATTCTCTAAAGAAGATAGACAAATGGCCAACAAACATAAAAAATGCTGAACATCACTAATGATCAGGGAAATGCAAATCAAAACTACAATGTGATACCATCTTACTCCTCCAAGAATGGCCATAACCAAAAAATGAAGAGATGTTGGCAGGGATGTGGTGAAAGGGGAACACTTCTGCTCTGCTGGTGGGAATGTAAACTAGTACAACCACCAACGCAAACAGCGTGGAGGTTCCTCAGAGAACTAAAAGTAGATGTACCATTTGATCCAGCAATCCCACTTCTAGGGGAAAAGAAGTCATTATGTGAAGAAGATACTTGCACACACATGTTTAGAGCAGCACGATTTGCAATTGCAAAAACATGGAACCAGCCCAAATGCCCACCAATAAAAAATGTGGTATTATATATACCATGGAATACTACTCAGCCATAAAAAGGAGCAAAATAGAGGTATTTGCAGCAACCTGGATGCAACTGGAGACTATTATTCTTTTTTTTTTTTTTTTTGAGACAGAGTCTCGCTCTGTCGCCCAGGCTGGAGTGCAGTGGCCGGATCTCAGCTCACCGCAAGCTCCGCCTCCCGGGTTCATGCCATTCTCCTGCCTCAGCCTCCCGAGTAGCTGGGACTATAGGCGCCCGCCACCTCGCCCGGCTAGTTTTTTGTATTTTTTAGTAGAGACGGGGTTTCACTGGGTTAGCCAGGATGGTCTCGATCTCCTGACCTCGTGATCCACCCGTCTCGGCCTCCCAAAATGCTGGGATTACAGGCTTGAGCCACCACGCCCGGCCTGGAGACCATTATTCTAAGTGCAGTAACTCAGGAATGAAAAATCAAACATCCTATGATCTCACTCCTAAGCGGGAGCTAAGCTACCAGGACACAAACGCGTAAGAATGACACACTCGACTTCGGGGATTGGGGGAAAGGGTGGGGGGTGGTGAGGGATAAAAGACTACACATTGGGTGCACTGTACACTGCTCTGGTGATGGGTGCACCAAAATCTCACAAATCACCACGAAAGAACTTATTCATGTAACCAAACATCACCTGTTCCCAAAAAACCTATTGAAGTAAAAAAAAATTAAAATTAAAAAAAAAAATACAACACGAGAGGGCTGAGTGATTAGGCAAACCAGACACTGTAAATTAAGTCACTTTGTTTAAAATGACCAAGTCTTTCGTTGAAAAAAACCCAACAAAACGAAAAGGGTGTACAGCTGTGATTCTCATGAATCTGGTTCAAGAATGCCTATTACAGCTCATATCCGCTTAAAAACTTTTGCTAAGTTGATACTAGTTTTCCAGCTAGCACTGCAGGCAAAATGGTATCTGATCTTAATTCACAGGGTTCTTTTTTGTTACCAACAGTGTTCATTTTCTCTCTCCCCACCCTAGCCTTTCATCAGCTACTTTCCTCTTCTGTGCGCGTCTGTGGAAAAGCAAAGTGTTTTTTAATTAACTCACTTCCAATTTACAAAGTTTCTTCTAGGGTAACACACTGAATATGCAAGCTCTATGACATCTGACCCTCTAACAGACTTGCCACCTTCTGGGAGGGACCATCTGTTAAAGTTCACACACATTTTACTTTCCAGATCCTTCCTGAAGTTAGGCACGAGAAGCCTAATGCCAATTCTTCATTGAATTTCGACGCTTTCAAACCTGATGTTCTTCATCTTTCTGAATTTGTTTCAAAAATAACATCAAACTGAAATACCATATTCTATTCTAAAAACATTTAATTTGATAGTGAATTCATCAACAAATGTTAAAAGTATATGAACCAAAACCACATGATGTGAAGTCCCTTAGAGGCAGTAATGGGTTGATGAGGTCCTTACCTTTCTTAGCTTTTCTGGAGAAAATTCTAGGCCAACAAGAAAAAGAGTAAAAAACACCCCAAATTCTCCTAATGTCTCCACTTGCACAATAGACTGAAAAACACACAAAAAAATCAAACCATATAATTTTACAGGTTTAACATATTAAGTATACTTAACTAAACAATCATGTCCTAGTATGCCTGGTGGAAGTATCCAAAACACACACACACACACACACACACACAGAGTAATCACACAGTATACTTCTTCCATTAACCACTTCTCCCTTTGGCTAGTATGTGCTCTGATTTTTATCTTGGTCTATTTATAATTACATTATTTTCCATGATTTAGCTGATTTATTAAGAATTATAATTTTTACAGCATCCAGTTGTATATATTACTCAGCTATTTCAACTTATTTCTTGGTTTATGAGCACCTTTGCTATTAAGAAAAAGAAGGAAAGAAATTTGTATTTGCTTTTATTTGCAAAGGGCAGGAAGTGATTTTTCACCTCCGGTGTTTCATACTTGAATCACGTGAAAAAGACCTACTCCAAAAACCAAATTGAAATAGCCGTTCTTCCCAGGGGCCATTCTGCCAAAGCGAGCCCTGTCCTGGGAGCCCCCACATGTGGGCTTGCAGCTCCCCTGCCAGCCAGCTGCTCCCCAGGCCCAGGGTGCTGGGCGCGCTCCTCTTCACCAGCCGGGGCTAGAGCTCCTCAGACCCCTCCTGCCGCCCTGCAGTCTGGAGAAAGCCCTGGGGCTCCTGGGCCTGGTCCCAGGCTCCACCAGCAGCAGAGGGAAAAAGGCTTGGAGGGAGCAGGCTGCACTCCTCCCCGTCCCACCCCTTGACACGCCTCCCCACGGTGGGACTCAAGGCACCCACTCCGGCACCCGCTGCTCGCACTGTGAGCGTTGCGGGGAGACAGCTGGAAGCTCAGGAACCTTTCCTCCCTGTCAGAAGTGCCATCAGCGTGACGGGGCCTAGCAAACAGCCCCACTGCCCGCTGCCTCGACTGGGGCTCGTCGACTTTCCCATGTGTTGTGAGTGAGATGCTTAAAGACAGTTAGTGGGGGCCGGGCGCAGTGGCTCAAGCCTGTAATCCCAGCACTTTGGGAGGCCGAGACGGGCGGATCACGAGGTCAGGAGATCGAGACCATCCTGGCTAACACGGTGAAACCCCGTCTCTACTAAAAAATACAAAAAACTAGCCAGGCGAGGTGGCGGGCGCCTGTAGTCCCAGCTACTTGGGACGCTGAGGCGGGAGAATGGCGTGAACCCAGGAGGCGGAGCTTGCAGTGAGCCGAGATCGCGCCACTGCACTCCAGCCTGGGTGACAGAGCGAGACTCCGTCTCAAAAAAAAAAAAAGACAGTTAGTGGGCCGGGCATGGTCAATGGGCTCACACCTGTAATCTCAGCACCTTGGGAGGCCGAGGTGGGCAGATGACGAGGTCAGGAGTTCAAGACTGACATAGTGAAACCCCGTCTCTACTAAAAATACAAAAAATTAGCCAGGTGTGGTGGTGTGCACCTGTAATCCCAGCTACTCAGGAGGCTGAGGCAGGAGAATCACATGAACCCGGGAGGTGGAGGTTGCAGTGAGCCAAGATTGCATCATTGCACTCCAGCCCGGGTGACAGTGAGAGACTCTGTCTCAAAAAAAAAAAAATACAGTGGATGCAGCACTTTGGTTGTATTCGGCACGCGAAGGGCCGTCTGAACCACCTGGCCCAGCATGTTACTGGAAATGGACTCCTTAAAACTAACAGAAAC